CATTCTGATGAGTGAATAGTTAGAAGTAGATGTTCCTAATTATTTTAATATAAATTTTAAAAAATTAATTTTTTTTTTCAAGATCAAATTAAGTTATTGAAAAATACTTCGACTACTACCTTTACAAATATGAATACTACTGCTATGGCTGTCACTACTACTATTACTACTACTACTACTACTTCTACTACTACTACTACTACTTCTACTACTACTACTACTACTTCTACTACTACTACTGCCGCTGCTGCTTCTAGTATAAATGATGCGACAAGGCGAGTAATAACCATAGAGGAGACAGACGCTGGGTTTATGCAGGTGAATTAATTGTTGTTGATGATGTTGCTGATTATGATGATGATGTTTGTGTTGTTGTTGTTGTTATTGATGATGATGATGTTGCTGATGATGATGACGATGGTACTGATGATGACGTCATCTATCATCATCGTTTGTTCGTTCTTTTTTCCCCGATTAATTCCAGAAAAATCTGCAAGAAATGAAAATATATCAGGCTTCTTTGTCATCATCATCGTCATCATTATCATCATCATCATCGCCATCAACAACAACAACAACAACATCATTATCAGTACTTACAACAACAACTACAACAGCAACAACGTCATCACCTTTATCTTACAAAATTTCGTTTAAAAATTTCGATTTTTCGCCACGTCGCAACAACAACATAAGCAACAACAACAACAATAATAATAATAACAACAATAATAACAACAGTAGCAACAAACTACAGTTACTAAAAACTATCAACCCGTGTAATGTCACTCAACTATCGTTTAGAAATTGCATCTTTAATACTACTACTACTACTAATAATAATAATAATAACACGAATAATAATAGTTATGATAACGGGAATAATAGTAATAATAATATTGATAATATGATTTTTTCATTTATAACTAGTTGTCGAAACTTAGAGCACTTGATTATTCGTGATTGTAATGATGACAACAACAATCGTAATGATGACAACAACAACAACAACAGCAGCAGCAACAACAACAACAACAATAACAAAAACAACAATAATAATATTAATAATAACAATAATAATAATAATTGCATTAATAACAGTAATATTAATAATAATTTTATTATGAATTTTTCAAAAAATTATACTAAGTTACGTTCGCTTGTCATCAGCTACCTCAGCGCTACGAGTGGATCCGGATCCTGTAAACCCGACTCTAATGTTAGATAATAAATTCTTTAATATTATTATTATAATTATTATTGTTGTTGTTGTTATTGTTGTTGTTGTAGCAGTAGTAGTAGTGGTAGTAGCAGTGTTGGTGGGGGTAATAATCACAAATTATCAACACCAACAGACGATATCAGAACTGATCAAAAACACAGTCAGCCCGCACATCACTACTCTAGGGATGTGCGGCTTCAAATTGACGACCGACCACGAAGTATCGTTTCTATCCGAAACTATCGGCACATCCCTGATCCGGCTGAATTTGAACGGTTCTGCCGGACTCGGCGACATAAGTTTGGAGATTTTGTCAGAGAAGTGTAGGGGGCTGGTTGAGCTGTGTTTATCTGAGACTCAGGTTTGTGATTATTATTATAATTATAATTATAATTTTGATTATTATAATTATTATTATTTCGTAATTAAGAACATCATTCAACTTTGAAGATAACAGACGCAGGAGTTTCGGCCCTAACGAATGGCTGCCCTCACATTAAAGCCCTTGACCTTTCCAAATGTCCTAAACTGACCGACAAAACCATAGACAGCATAGCAACAAAGTATTCAAAAAATTTGAAAAATCTCTTCATAGACGGCTGTAGGAACATAACGAATTCGGCGCTATATAACTTAGCTGTCAGCTGCTCCCAGCTGAAACGCCTACACGTTTTTGGCACAGCTATTGATCAGCTGATACCTCAGCTAATTTGCTTGTATAATTTAACTGCTTTGAAGGTCGACAGAGATTTAGTTGATAATTATATTACTACTACTACTACTACTACTACTACTACTACTACTACTACTACTACTACTACCACTACTACTACTACTACTACTGCTGCTGCTGCTGCTGATACTACAACTGCAACTACTACTACCACCAAAAATAATATTAATAACAAAAACAATAACAAAAATAAAAAATGCTGCACACTATCTCATCATCATTTGGTGAAAATTTTCTGGGAATTTAACAGCGCCCAAAGGTAAGATGGAATTATTATTATTATTATTATTATCATTATTATTAATATTATTATTCTTAATAGTAGTAGTAGTAGTAGTAGCAGTAGTAGTAGTAGTAGTAGTAGTAGTAGTAGTAGTAGTAGTAGTAGCAGTAGCAGTAGTAGTAGTAGCAGTAGTAGTAGTAGCAGTAGCAGTAGTAGTAGTAGTAGTAGTAGTAGTAGTAGTAGTAGTAGTAGTAGTAGTAGTAGTAGTAGCAGTAGTAGTAGTAGCAGTAGCAGTAGTAGCAGTAGCAGTAGTAGTAGTAGTAGTAGTAGCAGTAGTAGTAGTAGTAGCAGTAGCAGTAGTAGTAGTAGCAGTAGCAGTAGTAGTAG